TTCTTCTTCTTCTTCTTCTTCTTCTTCTTCTTCTTCTTCTTCTTCTTCTTCTTCTTCTTCTTCTTCTTCTTCTTCTTCTTTAAATACGTTTCCAGGCACCATAAGCTTAAGGGTTCTCTTTATTTATGATGATTCCAGCATAAAGATGCATCGCAAGGGAAAAAGCGTGTCTCTAGAAGTCACTGAAAATACAGTGTATTAGGAGTCTCTTCCACCCCCACTTCTGCCCTTTAACAATTGTGATTCTTGTGGATACTGTTGATTTTTGCCCTGATTGCCATTCTCATCCTCAACAGGAATTTAGTAGGGAGAGTTTGCTGCCGAAAACAAATGCGGGTAAGTTCCCCCAGGGGAGCAAACGCCAGCAATACGTTGAAACCTCTGTGGTCTTCCTTAAAATTAAATAGCTGTGTGTACAACAAAAACAGAAATTACAAAATGTTTCCGTACTCCTTTTGCCTCAAAAATCACTCCCTACAGGAACCAGAAAAGGTCTGTCAGCCTCAGTTACTGAGCAAGAGCAGAGGCTACTCTGCAGGGCACTCCGGGGGTCAGGCACACAAAGGGTGAGCGAGGGGTGTGGGGGAGGCTGTGAGGCAGTGGCTGTCCCTCCTGGTCAGTAGAAGCCCGCCCCCGGCTGGGACCTGGGAACCTGGAACAGGCTAAACTTGAGGCTCGGGATAGATATTTGAATGCCTCCCAAATTGCGGTCCTATCCCTCAGAGGCAGGGAGAGGAGCGGAGTGCGTGCGCGAGCGCTTACGTCGCCTCGAGCTCTGTGCTGGGATAATCAGGAGTTGGGCTGAGCCGAGTCCTCTTTTAGCAGCAGCAGCCGGCACAGGAGTGGCAGCAGCAGCCCCAGGGACGCGCGGGACCCAGCGGCTCGGAGCGCACGGGGACAGCTGGTGCCGGGGCCGCGCCAGTGCCACCGCTTGGGCGCACAAAGGTAAAGGCGGCCGCAGCCCTTGTGGCCTGCCTGGTCCCGGCGGCGTTCCCGTCCTCTCCCTCCTTCCTTTCCCGAAGGCGAAAATGGCTGGGCCGGGCGAGGACCTGGGACAGCAGTGGTCCTAGCTCAGCGGGTCCCCACCCTTCCTGCTGACAGAGGCGGCGGGCTGTCCTTGGATGAGGTGGCCGAGGCTGCTCCCTGGCGAATCCTCAGCCGGGTCGCAGCCACCGGCTCTCTCTGCTTGCTCCATCCCTCGGAGAGGAGTTGATGCTGGCATCACCCCCGCCACCGCCACCACCTCCGCGGAAGCCAGTGCTGATGGATGCTGGGGAGTGCCGCATTGCTTAATGTCCCCGCCTCCGGGTTTGCTGGTAGGAGCTGGCTGCTCTTTCTTCTTTCTGGCTTTGGGGGCGGTGGGGCGACGAGGGTTTGAGGGGGGGTTAGCAAAGATAGAGACATTTCTATTTCATTCTCTACAACTCCCTGCACCCACCCTGGTTTTGACATGTATGCTCCCAGAGAGGTCTCCTCCCGTCCTTATCCTCACCCTCCACTCCCTTGGCAAGTGCCCTGAAATAAAGAGATAGACTAGGCAGAAGTTGGGGCGGGGGTGGGGGAGCCCACGCCCGTGTCAACGGTACCCAAAACCCAGCTGGAGCCTTAGGAGATCACGGTGTGTGGAAGAGGGCCCGAGGGAAGGGTGCACACTATCTGCAGTCTCCCCTAATTGGATCACAATAACCTAAAGTAAAAATCGCCCAAAGATGTCCTGTAAAAATAGCATCTTTGAATAAGCAGAGGGAGAAACGAGCTCCCTTCCCTTCCCTTCTCTCCTTTTCTTTCTGTCAAAGACTCTCCCTCCCCGCCCTGGAGCTCAGCGCTGAAGAGCCACCTTATTATTAATCAGAATTCCCCTCTTTATCCGTGGCAGGCACATCCTTCAGCGGGGACGCAGCAGCAACCCGGTGTTGGGGCTGAGATGTGCCTGGGGTTTGCTTTCCTTGCATCTTACAAGACAAGAGAAGAAGACAGAACCAAGACCCGAAGCGCCCTTGCTAAGTGGAATTAGGGTTTCATTCATTCTTTCTTTTTTCCCCTTTTATTCAGAGATAAAGGGCAAGAGGCAGGCTTTCAGGGCCTGCCCAGAGGCCCACTTTTAATGGGAGGCGTTGTTTTTTAGAGGGGCTGGGGTTAGAAGTTTAGATACTCTCCAGCAAAGCTGTGGGGTGGGGAAAAGCAGGAGCAACAGGGTACTTGACTGAACGCGAAGAGGAACCATTTCCTGTACAGGAGAGGAAGCAGACAGCAGCTAGGAGGACTGGGGGCCTGAGTGTGGTGTGGAGGTGGCAAGGGCCAGGTGTGTTGTTGGACACAAAAGGAGAGCTTCAGGGTGGACAGCTTGGGCACAAGGTAACAATGACTCATTTGCAAGCTGGTCTCTCTCCTGAGACCCTGGAGAAAGCCCGCCTGGAACTCAATGAGAACCCAGACACTCTGCACCAGGACATCCAGGAGGTGAGGGACATGGTCATCACTAGGCCAGACATTGGCTTTCTGCGCACCGATGACGCTTTCATCTTACGCTTCTTGCGGGCCCGGAAGTTTCATCACTTCGAGGCTTTCCGCCTCTTGGCCCAGTACTTTGAGTATCGGCAACAGAACCTGGATATGTTCAAAAGCTTCAAGGCGACTGACCCTGGTATCAAGCAGGCACTGAAGGATGGCTTTCCTGGGGGCCTGGCCAATCTGGACCACTATGGGAGGAAGATTCTAGTCCTTTTTGCTGCCAACTGGGACCAGAGCAGGTAAAATCTAAAATTTTACTTATGATCTTTTGACCCCTCAGTTTTTCAGAGTTTACTTGGAGGAGTTTTGGGATGTTGCAGCTCCGATGCTTTTGGTTATTTGGATGGAGGCGAAGGGGACACGGGCCTGAGAAATGAGCTTTGGGTCTGCTCCCTGGGAAGAATTTGTATTTTTACTTTTTAAAACTTCCTTCTCTGACATAGTTTCTTCTGTAGCTTTATGTGCTCCCAAACCATATTATTATGCTGAGAACTAAATCACAACACTGCTAAATAAAACTTCTAAAAATTTTGGGTTTCTAAATCCTCGTGTTTAATAATGTGGAGAAAGGGGGAGAGAATAGAGACAACTTTTTCCTTCTTCATCCTCAAGAAGTTCTTAAAGTCAGCTCCTCGCCACCATTGTCATTATCATCTTTCCCTCTCCCTCTTACTGACATTTTATCTCCCCCAAATAGCCTGGTGCTTAGCCAGGAACAGGCAGTTTTATTGCTTGGGAATTTTTCTGCTTGGTGATGTGTAGATGAAGGCGTAATATGATAGGTGTCACTTCAATGAGAAGGAAGAGTTGTACCCTCTGTCGCTGAGCATGCTTAGTGACACTGAAATTAAAGGCTGACTCGTGTTTGTGTTCTACACCTGTCTCTAATCTGAAGGGCATGCTTCCTGTCTCATGCGATTGCTCATCTTTTGGAAGTGGGAAACTTTAAGATCTATCAGCTGGTAGACGCTGAGCTCGGGTGCTGTTTAGTAGAAGAGAAATACTACTCTAGAAAAATGCTGACAGTGACGTTTCTATGTCCTTCACAACTGTTTTCTCAGATGGAAAGACATAAAGATTATAAAAGGCTCTTGGGTAAGGTAGTTTCCATCAAATACCAAGTTAGACATATTTCATAGCATTTATGAAACCAGTTGTTAAGGCATTTGGTGTCTTTAGTTCTGTGAATGGTGTCTTTGGATGCATCTGGTTAGTTTAAACTATTTCTGGAGCAATGTAAATAATTTCTGCAGTTAAAGAGAGATCCAATAACTCGAACAGATTCCTCAACAGACTTCTGAGAGTATTAATAGTATGTTAAAATGTAAATGAATATTTTAATAGATTTTACCTTTTAATTGGTCATGTTTTCCTGCAATTCTAGGTTGAAAGGTTCTACTGATATTTTTTTCTAGTAAATATAAAGATTAACTGTTATCTGGAGAATCACAGAGTTTAGGAACTCACAGAAAGGATTAGCTACAGGATGGGATGAAGTCCCCTTGCTTTGGTGAATCCTATGGCTCTTATATTAATTTTTTTTGGGTGTGGAGTTCAGGTAGGAAACTTCAAAGGATTATGCAGTTCAAGTCATTGACTACATGTTTTCTGTGTGTGTTTTTTTTCTTTTAATGTAAGAAGTTCACCGTAGAATTATGCAAACCATTTGTGTCTATCAAAATGTAAAAATTAAATTGACACAGAGCCTCATATCCTTTATATCAGCTAGATTAGAAATATATTCATTGAGCTATGGTGCTATGCTATATTGAATGTATGTAGACATTTTATATTTCAATATATCTTGAATCTGTTTGAAGTCTTCAGAGTCAGGTTTCACACACACACACACACACACACACACACACACACACACACACTCTATTGTTTTTTTTCTGTAAGTGAACAAATATTATGCACACTTTATAAATCAAACCAAAGTGAATGTTACTTGCAGTTCTCACGTGTGTAGGAAGAGTTATTTTGACTATAGGAAATAGAATGTATTTTAGTTGCTTACTGTATGCATTAATAAAAAAGACAGGCTATTAATCATCAAAACTCTCCCTGAAAATCTATAGTGGGAGGGAATTTATTGATTGGCATGTAGAATTATTTTCAATAAGCCGATACAAGATGATAAGTAATAATAAATGCTTGTGCAGTTAAAATTAAAATGAGAAGACACATTTTATGGACATGTACTATCAGGATCTATACTTCATCTAGAAGGCACAGTGTATCAACAAGAAAAAGATGAACCTGGTTTAGGGATTGTGTAAATTTCAGATATTATTTTCCTTCTTTGCTCATAAAATAAAATAGTTCATTTTCTTTTCTTATCTATACCAAGTTTCAAATCAACACATACTGATGGACAGGGACACAGATAAACTGTTCTAAATCTTGGCTTTCTCTGGAAGCCTTCATCTTCAGGATATATGATTAAAGAGTGCTGTGATCTCTGGCTTAACATGGAAGGGAAGCTGTCTCTCTCACAGTGCCTGAGCCTCCTCAGGTCATTTCAATCTTGATTTCCTCTTTCTGTTCTAAGTCCCATGGCTTATCTTACTTGACTCCTGTAGAAGTCTCTGGTACTTTCTCTATATGATAACTTGGTAATAGTGCTCTGTTAGGTGCCCATGTCCCATGCCACGTTCTCCTATTCTCCAGCCCTCTCTTGCTCTGTGGTTCAGGTATTCACACTTCCCTTTCTGTCGTCTTGATAGTCCCAAAGCACCTGAGTTCAATAAGCCTGCTTGTCTGAACTTAGCTCTGACCACATCCCTTGAGTTGAACAACTGTTTTTAAAAAGTAATGTTGTTTTAAGGAAAGAACAAGGGGATTGTAAATGACTAAACAGGGAAATTTCAGACATTGAGAAAAATCCACAACCCACATAATTTAAGGGGATAGGGTTTATATACAATTTCCCAAATACAGAGGTAAAAAGAAAATGTATGGATTTAAAAAAAAATAAGCCAAGTCCATTGAAAGTTAATCTGGTAACAGAAACATCTGAACTAGAAAGTAGAAAGACTCAGAAAGAACCTGAGTTGAAATAAAAGTGTCACATTTTTTACCAAAAATTCTAAGTGGGAACTTAGCTGTGACGAGTTTTCTCCTGTACTGTATAAGGAAGAAAAGTTTCGATGTTCCCCAGGACACTGAACCTTTAAGTGTGAGAGGCAAGCATAAATAAAATAGTGACTTTTTCTACTGAGATACAGCATAAGTTAGTTTGGACTTACTATAAAGAACTAAACCATTTCTCAAAACTTTCTGAGACATGGAGTCATCAAGAAGATTATGTGAAGCATAATACTTGCGGTGTAGCCGCTTTATAATAAGTCTCATGCAACTCAAAATCCTAAAATGTCCAAGTGATTTTTTTTTTATGAACTGGAACAGATTTAGATGCCATGCGTTTCATCGATCAGGCTACACCTTGGAAAATTCACACAAATTTATCTCCTTTCTTTCAGATCGTCTAACATGACTTTTGCAAATAGAAGTAAATACAAGGAAATTATAAACAATCTGATAGTCACACTGCATCATTGGTTGTTCTTGGACCCTGGATATTACACGCTTCACGTGTTTCTGCGATGATAGTACCTTGCTTAGGACTGGTAGATAAATTCAATTTTCTTCACCAGATTTTGTCAAAAGTCTGGGACATTGGTCCATGGAACTAAAAGAGATAGCTTCTTGAAGAAATGAAGCTTAGAATAAAAAGGGAAAGCATTCTAGGCCTCAGATGATAAGAGCAAATATCTGAGAAGTTGGACTCCATAGATAAAAGCTGTGGAGATGGCTCAGTATGTAAGAGCACTAGCTACAAAAGCAAGGTAACTTACATTCAAATTCTAGAACCCATGTAAAAGCTAGACACACAGCCTGTGCCTCTGCAATCCCAGGGCTCTTATTTGTAAGAATATGATGCAGGGGAATCCTTGGAAACTCATGGGTCAGCTTGTTGTACACAGTGGCAAAACTACAGATACCCTGTTTCAAACAAGATGGAAGATGAGGCCTGGCACCAAAAGTTGGTAACTCTGACCTCTACTTGTGTCTTTATAGTGTACATCTCACTTACATGTACACAGAGGGAGCCACTCCACGCATGGACAAATAACTGTTACTAGAGATACTCATGAGTGAAGTTTTGTCATATGAAATAGAAGATGACATATTCGGAATTGGCTTGTATATTGCCAAAGAGCTAACTATTAATACTTTTGTGGATTACAACAAGCTTACAGGGCTGTTCTTTATATTCCAAACAGTCATTTATCTGGAACCCAGCTTACAGTCTTTAGAAAACAATGAAATGCAACTACAATTTAAACAATTTATAATTGTGGTAATTCAGAGTGTATTAACCATCCTGTTCTTGTTTTGCCACAATGATTGACTATCGCATACAGTATTCAAGTTCTGGAAGTGGTAGACAGCAGACTGTTCAGATATGGCTTTGATCTTCTAAATTTTCCAGAAATTTGTCTAATTATTCTTGCACATTTATTGGTATTGTATAGCTTTTTCTTAGAAAAGAAACAATGTAAATGGACAGCTATTTGTGGTTTCTCTTCAATTTATGACCATGCTCCTTTTTTTCCAAAGAGTGAGGTCAACAAAATGCAGATTGCTCAGTCACCTAACACTTTAAAAAGAAAAAGCCTCAGAGCACACCAGCTTGCTTAAGTGCCAGGTGCAATGATTTGCTCTTCCTTAAAGTTCTCTAAAAGATGTAAGTTGAAGTAAAACAAAAATGAGTATGTATAGATTGATATAGTCATGGGCAATTAGCCAGAGAAGTAGGGAGACATGCTTATAGCAATCCTTAAAAAAAAGGCTCAGTGGTTTGGTCTGATTTTAAAAGACTTCCTTTCACAGATTACTGGAATGTTCTCAGCTGAGACATTATTGTCAAGTGCTGTGCAGACAAGGCACCTTCACCAGCTGGAAGGCACTGTTGTGTGATGTATGGGTGGGTTTTGACTAAGTTGAGGCTAGCAATGGTTGATGGGCATTATGTGGAATTTCTGTCCTGAAAGAACTCTCATAACTGTAAAGAAGTTCTCTCAACAGCATTCTGGGAGCAGCAACTGACGCCAAACAAAGGTACAGACCATGGAAAACTGAAGGTGATATAAAAAGTTGTCTTGGGAAATGTAAGGTGACAGATTCCTGAAAAAAAAAAATAGGACAGTCTCTTAAAACTGGGCCAATTATT